ATTATCACAAAGACATCAGATAAAAGGCTTCTGCAGTTTTGCATCCACACAGTTTAAGACTACTCTAACTAAATGTCTTTCTGCCCTGTGAGATGGCTCGTTTTGTAAAGAATAAAGGGTGGGATTTTTTCCCTCTGCAGGGGCACAACCCAACTCCACCAATTTTAAATGGCAGCAGGATCAGGGTCAGGTTTTTAACCAATTTGTAATTTGGGCTTGCGGCTGGTGTATCTGCTTACTGGAGAACCCAGATATAACTTCACCTCACCGAGGACAGTCACAACCTCCCTTTGGTGGCAAAGACTCGCCCGGAGTCCCGTCCGTCTGCAGGGCACGGCCCCCCACACTTACCCCAACAGGGTCCTCACATGCTGAAGCCACGAGAAGTCATTACCGCAGACCCAAGGCCACGCAGGGCTGCCTGCTTTCTGTCTCTTTGTAGGGTGTGATTTCTGCCTTAAGTGTTTTCTAGGCCCATGTTTGTTCCTCGTGTCCTGTCTGTGCTGTTGTGGAGCATTTCTAGACTGAATAAGCAACTACCATTGCCCTGGTGCAGAACAAGCGTTATTTCTATGGAGCAAGCCTCCACTTAAAACCTTAAAGAATCATTGCACATGTGAAATTTCTGTTGACTAAAATTAAATGACTTGTGGACAAGTCTGAGAGGTTTTGAGTGGTCTCTTTTCCAGTATTTTCCAGTACTTACTACAACACTTGGCTGCCAAACCCTGCACAGAGAATTACATTCCCTAATGAAAAACCTCCTCCTCACCCAAATGATCATTTACAAATGAATGGGCTAACACCAGACTGATGGGGCACCTTGCCCGACAACATCTTTAAAAAGCTGAGGCACAACAAAACCTGGTAGATGTTGTAAGTGGTTAAAATTTTCCTTACAAAGCCAATGCTTTGTGCTATTTAATTTTGAGGAAGTGACTTGCAGAGCTGGGGGTGGAAATGTTAATGGATATGTTCCTTGCTAGAGGAGACGTAGTAAAAGAAAATAGTCACAGTTGTAAAGAATAATTGTTGGTAGTTTATTTACAACAAAATGCAAGGAAAAATACAATATTAAAAATAATAAATAACTTGGAAAAATCAGAAACGAAGTGATATGAATGAGAAATATGACAATCCAATCCTCCTGCTGAGCCTTGCATTGTTTAACTGGCAGAGCATTTCAAAACTTGGTCCTTCTTTGATGGCGGTGATGTATCGCCTAATGTAGCCATCACTGCTCTAAATAAAAGAAGTGAATTACTGGACATTCAGAGTCATGTGGAATTATCACAGAAATGAAAAAAAAACCAACGAAACCTGTTTTAGTGACACTACAAAACTACAGGAGGTTGTAATTCAATGACCATGCTGTTCATTTAAAGCAAAATATTGTTAGACTTATATAGCAATTTTAACTTACACACATAAAACCAAGTCCAAACAATGGGAACAGAAAAGCTCCTATTGACAAGATCATGAATTCTCTCTTACTGCACTCACTAATTCATAAAAAGCATATACATTTGGCTTATTTCAAATGATAGCACATTGTTTTGAAGTTATAGTGCAGCAAGCTTCAAAAGCAGTTTTAACAAAACTCGTTACAAACTAAAATTCAAGGAACAAATATTTCCATTTCAAAATCTCTACAGCAGCATATAATGCAAATTGGCTACTAGATGTCACAAAATCACCTTCCAGAATAATCAAAAAAGCCAAAGAATAAGGTCAAATAGTTTATTTCCATAGGATTTATCCAGTCATTTACAAAATTAACCATTACATTCATAAGAAATCCTATCGGTATGTGTTCCAGGAATGTACTGCTCCTCGTAGTCTTCATGGATACCTCCCTTTTGGATTTATTAGGAGATCTGCCCTTCTAAAGACTGCAGTGAATTGCCAGTTATTTTGTAATGATTGTTCTATGAGAAATACATAAAAGTAGGAGCAAAGCTGGGAGAAGGTTTTAATAGAAACCCAAACAAACAAATAGCATTATTTGCTCTGAACTGTATTGTCCTTCATGAAGAATTCCTTGTCAAGCCCTAGCAGAGGGGTATGGTGTCATTCTTCAGTCCCTGCAGCAGAGAACAGGAATGCAGCTATTGTGCCTATTTGGCTTTGCTGTGTGGCTCTAAAGATGTACTCACTAAATAATCACATCATGTATTTTTGCAAAAGAAGTGATGAACACCTGCAAAATGCTATTTTTCTCCTAATAAACATGTTTGAAAATACAACAGAAAACTGTGAAAAAATTAGTAATGGAAACAACCCCTTTGCCTCAAGATGTTATACTGAAGGGTTCAGACTTTCCTTTTCATTCAATTTCATGTGGTTTCGAGTGTTTGCTGGGAATATTCTAGAAAAAGTTATCCTACCTTAAAAAACAAACAAACAAACAGAAATAAATATTTAAAGATCTATTGAGGAAATGGGTAAGGACTGGTGGGGAAAGCAAAGCAGAGCTCAGCAGAGGGTGCTGACACAGGCAATGAAGAGCCTGGGGTATTTCTTATCCAGAACAATGAAACGTTACAGATCTTTTTATTTGCCTCCATTAGGAAGCAGCGTGGAGGCAATGTGGCTGATCGTGATCCTTGCTGTGGCCAACAGTGAATTCACACTGTTTGGTCAATAAATCTGGGACTCCTCAAGAACAGCTCTGCGTAATGGAAGGGCTACAGCAGCAGCACATGCAAGCGGAGACACAGCACTAAGCAGTCTGACATTTCTTCCATGACATGTCTTGCTCCTAGATCTCTGTCATGCAGCTCTTAAGATGTATCCTCTTCAGGTATGTTAATAATTTTCATACATGCCTCATCTCCAAACCTACTTACGATAATCGATGTATCCACATGGGATTGGAAATCAATCAGTTAAATATGAGTAAAGGTAGGACTGCTTTGGTCTAATAATCTGTGTCAAACCCTGGTGCCAAAACATATATAGAAACAGCAAAATGTAAGCAGAAGGACATTACGACTACAGCTGAGCAAAAATCCATTGAAAAACAGACCTTCAGGTGGAGCAGACCTAAACTATTTCTATACAGGTCAAATTCAGGAAATTAAAAAACAACCAAACAATGCTTTATGTTTCCAGAGGTTTCCCTTCTCTGCCAATGTTCCAAACTTGCTGCTAAATAAATAATAAAAAGATTAGACCAGTTATAATCATGACTATATAATCTGCACACTTTTTAAGCTGAAATCATAAACTAATGGAGGAACGTTTTGTTTGCATCATTACAGCGGCTTCTTTTTAAACAAAAATATCATCACCCATTAGTTTACTAACCACAGAGAATTACTACCTCTGAGGAGAAAAGCAAAGCGAAACATGGGCAGTAAGTGGGAGAATGCATGAAGTCAGACCACAGCAAACCTACCAAGAGCTCCCAGATTTTGCTAGCTACAGGATTTTAACTATCAAACAAATATACACTTGTTTTCAGTGCAGGCTGGAAGTGGAATTACCTCTCCTGCTACTAAAACTATGCTATAAATATCCCACATTCAACATAACTTCTACTGGATCTACAGCCACTGAGAAGTTCAGTGCATTTAAGCCAGTCAAATCACCGCAGTGCGCTGAGAAGATGGCACAAAGGTCTGTCCAGGTAAAAGGCCATCCCCAAACTGATTGTTCAATATTCAACCATCGGTCAGCTCTGGAGGACTCTCTTTTTTTTCAGTCCATGTACCATGTCACTGGTGGTGCAAAATATCACCCACTTTGATCATATGATGCAGGTCACAGCTATCTTTCACTGGGATTTGAACAGCGGCTTATTCAACGTCTACTACAGCGAGGGATAGAGACAGATAGGGACAGCACTCATTAAACAGCAATCTGTGTGAAAGAGAACAAAGTGCCCCAAATGGGGCCAGCGGGGAAAGCTTCACACTGAGCTTACGTTTTGAAAAGGAAGGAAGGAAGAGACCACTTCTGCCTTTTATTTTTCTGCTTCTTCCACAATCTACACTTCCCTAGCGGGAAACATCCTTCTCTACATTTTAATTCCTGAGACTGAAGAGTGACTTCACATGCGGGCCAGGAAGGGCACTTCTGTTTCCTTAACATCACCCTACCCGGGACTGAGCCGCCCACGATTCATTTGCTTTTTAAAGTGGCAACAGCAGAGCCTGGAACCAGCTTTCTGTTAGTGGAGATTGTGCTGTTTAGGAAAGATGTGAGGCAGGAAAGAAAAAGAGAGGCTCACATTTTCTTTCCTTTACATTCAAGGTCTTACAGCTTACTACCACTCTTCTTCCAGTGAGGAAAGGACAGAATTCATTGGGTTTGCTTCTCAACTGGCTCAATTTAGCTGCTTTTTTTCACTCTCACACATGGAACACCACTGATGAACACCAATACGGACTAAAGAGATCACAAAAGGACAGGGAGAGCTATTAAAATACATTATCTACAAGAAATAGGTGGTTTCTTTTACAAATTCTGTGCAAGATAGAAATAGTTCAATGGCCTCAAAGTCAGTATAGTTAATTACAATTGGAGCTTCAATACAGTGATATTTTAGGTTGGAAAAGTTTTGTGTTTGTTAGCTAGGCCCCAAATCCTGAGTCATATTAAGCAAAATGTGAATCTGAGTGATTGCTCTTGGTGTTCAAGTACGATGAGTTACAGGTCAAAGGTTTACGAATACACAGAAGCCTGAGAGTAGGAAGGATTTAAAATTAGCTATAAAAGAAGAAAATGGGAGGGTTTTATTTTCCTGTTAACCCTGCATTCTAGTTGGCACTAATTTGCCTCAGAAGTCCTTGGCAGCTTTACTAAATACCTACTCCTAATTATAAATGCTATGACCTAGATGAGGATTGGTAGGTAGAACACTGCTACAGAAAGATTTATTTTCTTTTATAGGGTTCCCTTCAGACTATTTCATTGTATGTCAGTAAGATGCACCATATGGCTTGAAACACTATGTCAGGAATATATAAACTACCTCCTCTCGCATGCACTTCTCTGAAGGTTTTCAGGATCAAGTCTGAGGAAAGAAGTAATCTTTCCACTCCAATAAGATTATTTTAAGCAAAAAAACAATCAACAAACTACCATGACCTTTGTAGAAACTGAGTTACATCACTCTTGCTGTGGTAGACATGGCTTATCAGGAGGAAACATGCTGGGTGAATTTAAAGGGGTTTTTTTGCTGGATCTGGAAGAGTGAGAGTTTCTGGAGCAGACTTTTTCCGAGGCCGGTCTTTGGGAACTGTTAGGAATTCAGGAGCATCTGTGGAGAGAGGAGTTGACGGAGCACTAGATGGAGCACTGCGGGTTGAAGAAGGCATGGAAATGTTAGAGATAGATATTGCAGGTGGGAAGATCCCAATCTTCTTGTTGGTAGCTTCCTGAGTTGCTCGTTCAAACTCTCGGACTTCATCCATTGTCATGTCTTCAACAAGAGGGAAAGAAAGAAAAAAAGGCATGTTAGAATAATTTCAAATGATCATTTCATTAATTCAGTTAAACTACTTCCATCCAATTTCTAAATCAGGGAATGATTGCTTATCATGCGTTATCATTAAGTGCTTCTCCACGTGAATGCCCTCCTATTGTAATGCATCGACTGCAGTACAACAAGCAGACAACTAAAGGAAACTAAGTTAAGTACATGAATCACATACTAATGGCTCTTCTTCTGCCTGGCTCTGAACTGGATAAAAAGTGCTACCTCTGTCATTGCTGGAAAAATCAAACTATTTCACAGGCAATTAAAGAATACATTTAGATTCACAGTCAACAAGTAGAATTTTTCAGAACTTCAAAGAAAAGAAAACCGATAGGTTGGAGGTTTTTTTTGCATCTAGATTATAAGCATGAAAGGGTAAAGGGTTGTCACCGGTTTGCTCATCTACTGTAATTATCAAGGGATGAATAATTCTCTCTCCCCTCATGCAGAGCTTCTACCGACTTCTAGTTGCAGCTGCATGCAGGTAACTGTGGCTGTTTTGCTTTTCTACTAATAAAGCCTGAAGAATTCCCTCTCACTTGACACAGCCACAACACGCTTTCCAACTTTTCCATCCAGAATCTGTACTTAAACATTTATGGCCAACTGAGAAATCCACTGCTTAATTCCCTGCAAAACAGAGACAAAACGAGATGAGAGGTTAAAGCCACTTTGCAATGGGTCCGGAGACAGCTTCACAGGCAGCGGGAGTCTTCTCGTGCAGGTGACAAATGTGTCACCGTGCTGTAGAAACCCACAAGAGGGCAGAGCGATCCCAGCAAAGATGTACTCTGGGCTGAGCCCTGCAAAACTTTTTTGATAAAATCCCAAACGAATGACATCTGCTACAAACGGGTAAACTGAGGAAAAAATCAGCACGACTCCTCTGAAACCTGCTGCTTTCTGTCTACATTGCCTGCAAGGTGTCCACTGAGCCAAGTGAAATACATTTTATGGTTTTCACTGAACGTCACGTTAAATTTGTAAATTTGAAGTATTTCATTAAACCACTTTATAGATTCTTTGAGCTCTGAAAGCTCAAAAAAACCCAGAAATAAAACACTACATTAAAAAAAAACAAACCAGAAATAAAACCACTAGCATTGTAAACAATTTAAGATTCCCACACATTTGGGTGTCCAAGACTGGCAATGGTGCTGTATGACAAAATCCTGTACTTTCAGTACATCAACGCTTTTTAATATTACCCAGCTGCATGCATCTGTAGCTTTGTCTGCAAATGTGATGTTGAAGAAGCTTTATCTTGTATTACAACACCAGATTAAATAAACAAAAGCACTCATGCTGCCAGCTGCCTCCTCTCTTCCCTGCAGACGACATACCAGGGACCTCTGCAGCCCACACCGACAGTTATTAGGAGTGAGCACGAAGCTATTTTCAAATCGGAGATAAGTGGTGGAAATAAACAGATGGTCTCAGAGGAACTGTACCTACTTGTGTTGGAGATCGATTTGAACCTGTTTTGCTGATTTACATTTTGTTTCACACCCTGTAGCAGTGTGTGGAGTGTTTGGGAACTCAAAGGGTTTAAGAGCAGCCTGACATCAAAGGGAGCCCATGCATTCACCTCAGCTATTTTCGACTGAGGACTGCTGCAAAACGTGAAACAAAAGCTGTCTTGGATAAACGAAAGTGGAAGAGGACAGGAAAGTTTCTCAGTTTACCGGCCATTTAAGTGAAGACTATTAATGTCTTGCTAAGTGGTAGCCTCCAAGACACTTCATTTTAAATTCAGACATGGAATACTCACTGTCCCTTCAGTTGCCTTTTGCTTTTTAGCTTATACTTGCTTTAAATTATCTTCTATTCTGATATTCGCTCAAGTTAAGCAAGTCCTTACTCTGAGCTAAGAAGGCTCAGGCTCTTTTTTTCAGCAATGACAAATTCTGTTCTGACCTCAATGGCAGTTTTTCCACCTGGGACCCGGGGATGGCAGACTTCATTCAAACCCAAACCCTGAAGCGTAGAGCCAAAGTCAGAACTGATTCTCAATTTACTGCTCAGCTAAGGAGTAACCTTGGTGTCAACAGAACCGCAGCATTGCAAACACAAGATTTACCTCCCTGGTTATTACTTAGCCAACATCTTCTCAGGCTGGTGACAATTTTTACTGAGTAAGAACAAAGGAAAGACTTCAAGCCCTTCAGGCCTTGCCCCGCACTCGTTACAGGAGTAAAACCATCACTGAGTTCTACAGCACAGTTAGAAATAAAGGAATAGTAACATTTCAAAAGCAAATATCACTGCATCTTTTCTATTTGCAGACAGCAATAATTTATAATTTTAGCCCTCTACTTGAGGTGCCCAAATTAGGAATTTAAATACTTTATGAAATTTCCAGAATCTGAATCAAAGAACCTACACAGAAACCTGCTCTTCTCCACCACTGCTGTTGTATACTTCTGAAAATACTTCTCACCTTGTTGGTAACTAATCAATAACAACATGAAAATTAGTTTGAAAAGAGTGAATAATTAATTAGCTTTTTTTTTCTCCGGGTGAAGCAAACAATTTTTTCAGTCCCATAGAAATTTTCCACTCCCCGTGTTCCTGGCTGTTTGACTGAAGCACTCTGAACTCTTGCATTTTTTAACTATTCAAATAATAGAAGGCAAAACTGATATTTAACTTCCTCTTTATGCATCCAACTGAAATTTGAGATTTGTGTTTTCCTGGAGGACAAGGAGTTGTATATGAGCCCAACCCCACCCTTTCTTACATCAGTGGCAGTTTACAGTGCAAAGAAAAGGCAGGATTGCACTTCACAGGGAAAAATTCTGTTCCCACTGAAGTAAAACTGACTGGTCAGCAAGATCAGTTCATTGCTCTTCTCTGATCTGTGCAGGTGTATTAGCTGAGGATGGGCAATACGTTTCAAAAATGGACATACTCTTGCATTGGCATGGCTCTCTATTTCATCCACAGTAGATGAATGTTGGTTGCAAACTTTAATGTTGGTTTTTTCATGCATATTTTTCTCGTATTCTCGGACATCATCCATAGTCATATCTGTAAAAAGTTCAAAATTGTTGGCATTTTCCATCGATTCAGTGCAAAATTATTTTTTTCTTTTCTTAAGGAGAAGGTTCTAGGAACACATAGTCTTTCAGCAGAAGCCAAAAAAGAATGTGAAAAGAAGCAAGGAGCAACTAGCTTTATGAAAACTGACTCATAAAGGTAGTTATATCAGCCAAAGAAGGTGCAAGAAGGTGAAGTCAAAGGGAGTCAGAGAACAGGAAGGAGTGGAAATTGTTCAGGAGTATCTGTGTAACACAAGGTAGGCAATAAGTACTGAAATGCAGGGCTTGGCAAAGGCCAAGATCTTCTAAAAAGACTTCAGAAGATCCCTTGGAATAAAGGATAGATACAGAAATATTATAAATATTTACTTACCTTTCCAGGAATTTAAAAAAAGATTTTATGTTATCTTTGCATAGTAACTTTCATAACCAGCAAACATTCTTAATGTTAGAGCACACATCAGCTTAGATTCCAGAAACTAACAATTATACTGGTAAGTTAATTAACAGTGATTACGTTAACGGTTTTGTAGCCTCAAGCAATGTAATGAACTGTAAGAATTAGAAATATTCTAGAAATCAGGCTGATTGGATGGGTAGGATCGTTTATCGTTGTCTGGGCATGTCTGATGTTGTCAAACTAGCGCATAATCTCTTAGGTGCTTGCTCCGTAACTCAGAGCAATTATTACAAATTTTAAAGAGATTTGTCAAAAGCCACAGCAAAAACATAAAGAATCCAATTAATCAACTTGTGACCTTACTCTTCTGAGTACTCCCATGCTTTCACTAAATCTGCTTGAGAGTAAGGTGTAAGTGAGCATGAAGGCTGGCAGAATTTTGGTCTGTTCTTTACAACGGTTTGATAACTTCAGAGCTTCATAAAAATAGCCATCGACTTTTTACTCACAAAACTTAAACAGCATTTTATTAGCACAGCGTGCTTGGAAATGTGTGCCACTTTTGGCAACGTACGCCGTGGTTTTGTTCTTGAGGTTATCATTTTTCTTAGGTTTACTATGCGCCACTTGGATTTGCAAATTCTTAAATCACACCACTCCTTGTCAAGTGATTTTACATCACATGATGTAAATTGCTGCATTTTACAAGACAGCTTTCAAGGGAAGATACAACTTTAGCTGTAATATCAGTAGCACAATCTAATTCTTCATCAGTGAAAATCAAATGCAGTCTAAAATTTTGCTCAAAAGGAAACATGGAATACCACTACCTCATACACTTTTAGTCTTTTACTGTTGTCTGGAATGAAAAAGAAGCTCATAAGCCATGTCAGTAACATGCTAAGGATGCGTTTTGCCAAGCAGAGAACATGCTCTTTGTTAGTAAATAACACTGTGAAAATAGAGGTTCTTAATAATACAGCTAAATACAGTTTAGTAAACTTAAAGGCAAGACACGTTCATACTTACAGTATCAGTACCAGATCAGTCAGTAATATCCGTAACATAACATGTTGTTTAATAATTGATTTTATTACACCGATTATTTGATTCAGTTTAGCTGACTTACATCATCTCCAGTTCTTTCTCAAACTTTTATTTTAAAAGATGGTAATGGACACATGGAAGGCACACAGACACTTTAAAAACTATATTTCTGAAAAACCCTCCCTACACACATAAACATGTCAAGAGCAGTACCACAACAGTTTTACACACCGTGTGTATTACATGGAACTGGATGCACACAAACTGGATCTTGCTCATTTTGGATAACGAAATACTCAGTTTCTAGTCAGTGTGTCCTACCAACTGTTATCCTTCTGAACAACGCAGTGATACAAGGGCTGCAGACAGCACAGAGAATTACTTAAACTAACGCTCTGCACTTTTAAAAAAAAAATAAATCTTGCTATATATTTAGCCTTTATTCATCTCTGTTTTAGTGAGCCCAGATGTTCTAGGTTTTGTACTTAGCCTGGTCATTAAGTTCTAAAAGTACACAACATTATTTAGTCAAAAGACTCGGCATGACAGTAAAAATCCACAAGATAATTGTGTATCACAAGATTTCATTTGTGGGAAGAGGACTTTGACAGGGTGCATTCAGACTTAAGATGGGAAAATCTGTGGTTAAATGTTTTTTGGGCTAAAACTATTCCAGATGTTTTACTTCATGATTACTCACTTGTTATCATTATCAATAACTCTGCTAAAGTGCAGATAACTCTCTGCTTCCCAGTAACATTTCTTTATGTCTCACTTTAATAGGTATTTTGGGTAGATTTGGGGCAAATCTGTGGGCTCAATTTTTACGTGAAGTCAGGCTTCTTTATTTAAAAGTCATCAGTTTCCCTGACTTCATACAGGGAAAACAATGGATCAGTATATTTCAGGGAAAAAACAAACAAACAAATAACAAAACCACATAAAAAAACCACAAAAAAAAAAAAAGAACAAAAAAACCCCTTATCTCTTAAGAACTCTTTCTCACTGGATACAAAATTCTCTTACTAGTTTATGGCTATCCCAAAATAAAGGACATTTTTAGTAGATTTCAGTATTTTTATGATGATTACAGCACAAGACTTTCATGCACTACTAAATTTATAAGAGCATTATCATTTCAAAAGCAAATTTTTCTATATTTTAAAAAAAATCAGCACAATGAGGTTCTTGTTATATTCCAGTGTAAAATTATGCAGGTTCATGAAGTCACTGGAGGTGTGTGTGTTTGCACCAGCTGGGCTAACTGAGTATTTTTAAGCAATGCAGAATGTTTCTGAGTTTTGATGAAAGACAGGTGTCATTCTTATCCACTAAATGCCCAAAATGGTGTTTCCTGGAGCTTAAGGAGGGTCTAAATAAACATTCTAAATATATTCCCAAATTCCTATTATATGTTACAGGACTGTCTTAGACACTGTTCTACAAGTATCTATGATTACAGATACATCTTACTGAAAATGCACGTAAAAAGCACAAACCCCGTGAGCTTATTTTATAAAAAACCCGTAATTGGCTGTTTTGATATTCAGATTACTCTGCACTATTCAAAGTGCCCATTCCTACAGCTGGCTCATGGATTCAGAACAGTTTTTGCATGCAGCTGCTGTTGAATCAGACCCAGGAGGTTTTACATTTATATCAATTTTTCAGGAAGGACATTAGAGCTCCATCTTTTCTTTATTACAGTCCATATTAACAGTTTAGAACTTTCCTAAAAAGCTGGAACTGTGTTGGATCAGAGGCCTCAGGAGTTTGCAGTATGGAAATGACTGCATGTTAATGCAGACTTAGTAAGAAGCTTTATTCAAGCCTGCATGCGGTTCTCCATATAGATGACTCCTGGCAGGGGCAGCTCCTATCTGCCTGCAATGCAGAGGGACGGGACTGATGCATATATTCCGAGGTGCATGGGATCTAAAGGCGTTCCTGTATGCTGCCTACTGGCTGCCTAAAATACAGCCTGCTCTTACAAAGAACCTGCTGTCAATGAGCTCCGTATGTTCCAGAGAAACCAAACATAGTTCCATCCCTTTCATGAAGAACTTATACTAGGACCTGACAGTCTATGAAAGCAAATAGAAATCTGTTCTTAATGTCAGAAGCTTTACATCAACCCTTTTAAATAGGCTACATTTGGAGAATACTTACCGTACCACTCATCAACCCAGGCAAAAGCCTGCCGGTGACCGATCAATAGGATATCTCTGACCACCTGTGAAACAAGGAAAAGGTTAAACACCTCTATGGCAACAAAATGTTTTAGGAAAGTAACACTGCTGTCTTTCAACATGATTTAAAGTGAAAAATATTCTGACAGTTTTGTCTCTAAAAAGACATGCCCTAGAGAGTCAGACATACTGGCTCTGAAGGTCATCTTGTCCAACCTCCCACTTGAAGCGGATCTGTTGCCAACGCTGGATCACACCAGCATGGCTGTGACTGGCACGGGAAGCCACGTGGGAATGTGTACACAATCCAGCGACCTTTGGGAAATTAAGACTGGAACTCTTCTTTTTCCTTGTTAGTTTGTTAAACATACAGGAGGTCAATACTCTGGAAAATATAATTTGGCTGTACTGGCATTCATTAATTAATTTTGTAGTAGACTGATTGGAAAACTTTCCCCCTGTTTGTAAGAAATTCTGCACGTCATTGCTACGTGTACAGTTCTCGTGTACACTCATAAATTCTTTAGCTCATATAGTTACCACAGTACTGAAAATGTTACTGATAGTTTTTCTCAACCTTGAACCTGAGCAGCTCCAGGCTTTGTGAAGTCTATACCCAGAGATGAACTCTTTGGCTCTGCTCCAGATCTTAGAGACCTTGAGAAAGGTCTGGAAGCAGATTTGGCTGAACTCCCTAGCTCCTGCACAGCCATAGTTATATTCCTGCGCAGGGTAGTGCTCAAGTTCTGCTTATGTGAAGGGTAAGAAAACAGCTCCTGTTTCACTGACCTTGTGTACAAACTGCTCTACTCTAGTTTGAAGTCCCCAGACTTCAAATTTCACAGTCACAAGTTTGTAGGAACACATAATCGGCTGATGAGTCTCTCTCCAGCCTTCTTTTAATTGGCCTCTCCCAGTCTTCTGTGACTTGAAATATTTAGGGTCCTGCAAAACAAAGGAAACATACTGAGACAGGCAGGAGAGGAAGTCCTGTTTGTCAGTTTGCTAAAGTAAATGTTTTGATAAGACATAAAATATGAAAACATGTCAATAAACATTATGAAAAAGTAACATGAAATTGACTTAAATAAGAACCAGGATATACTAAAATCAGATCCTGTCTTTCATCCAACAGCCAGTGAATCGATGGCAGCATAGTCCTGGAGCTGCTTTGACAATCACATCATCTAGGACATTTTCTGCTATAGGAAAATATGTTAGTGCAAGTCATTACAATACAATGCACTCCGAGTGTTATTTATGGCCTTTGGAAAAAAATGTTGCTTCTTCAGAGCTTGCTGTTCCACTGCTCCCTCAGTGTGAGTTATGAGTACTTTCTACCCATGCCTGTCTTCCTGAAATCATGTCCAGCATGAGCTCTGACACACCACTGATGTGACCCTCACAATGCCATTTTCAGTTTTAAGTGAACTTTTATACACAGGTGGGCAGCTAAGTACGAAACTCCTCCAATTTAGCCATCTCCCGTTACAGCCGAGTTATGGTATCTTTGGGCAAAACACTGAATCACTAATTTCAGCTCTGTCTCTTTTACTAACTGGAAAAATCAAATAAATTGGTGTTGAAATTGTGACCAGTAAGGACATTAGTTCATCTTTAAGGTTTACTTTTATCCATACAAGATACAGTTTTATCTGTGGAAGTGTCACTTTATGTCCAATCTTGCTAATTACATCTTGTAAATAGAAATAATTATAATTTCTCGTTAAACATTGATTTTCAAAACTTGAAAATAATGTAGTTTCAGTAAAGTCATAGTGGAGCTTCTAAATTCTGTCTTCAAGAATAACCACCAGCACTCATCTGTGCTGCCCTCCCCAAAGCTGAGATCTGGGGAGATCTTTTAAATCCACCCTTTGTTACAAAAGCAGTTAAAGATGTATCTAAGCACCTGCTTAAATTATGTGCTAAATGGAAGACAATCAGGAGAAAAACTAACAAATTGATAAGACCACTCTGATCTTAATTTTCTTTCATTCATGGTGAGCTTATATATCATTCAGTGTTCCTTTTTTTCCTAATGTTTATAGTTATCTCCTGACTTGGCTTCCGATTTTATCCCTAAAGTGAAGCTCTGTCATTAAAGCTTCTTCACAAAGCTCTAATGAGGTGACAGTCTGCCTTCTCTGTGAAAGTCATTGCTTTTATTGCTGACATATTCTTTTCTAAATAGAAACTTTAAGCTCGCAGTGTAATAAGGTTTCAATGTTAAACCATCATAAGAAACAATTCAGAGCCATCACAGATCAGAGCAACATACCACGCTGTGTCACAGCTCACAGTCACACGCTCCTGCCAATCTTCTCACTCAGTAAAGCTTGACCTCAGATTGATCTAGATATTTTCTGGTTGAAAGAGTTGTTTTATAACTGATTATTGCCTGAAGCAATCAAGACAATAAAATAATAATAAAAAGAAAGAATAAAAAGGAAAGAACTAAGACATAATATTCAGAAAGGAAAAAAAGGAAAATCAAAGGAAAACAGTTTAATGTAAGGAAGAGTCTGCTGACATACACACACGGTGCTGCTGCGATGGAGCCACTGTCTCCATGAGGCATTTCAGACACACACTTTAATAACACTGAGTGTTATGCAGAGATACTTCTTATCCCTTCAGCGATAACCAGATCTATAACGGAATAACTTCAACGCAGTCCAAAGGGATTTAATGTGATGAATTGGAGTCCACATCAAGTGTTCAGAATTTATAAATAAAAATTAAATAATCCTGCATGAGACTTCAGTCATGCATAAAACTTGTCTTGTTCAAACTGCAGGATGGATGCTGTGGAAACTGGTTTGGTTTGGTTTTTGGTTTGATTTTGTGAAGTTAACCCAGCAGACAAGGGGATTCATAGCGGAAATGGTTCTTAAATTGGTGGCCCACAAATAATCCATCTACTGCAACGTAGTTCCTCCATGGCATCACTCAGAGTTGCAAATTCCTTTAACAGCATCCAGAGATGGCATCTTTTCTTGAAGGACACGATGTTTAGTCACAAATTGGCTGGAGAGTTTCACGCAAAGAGCCAGGCAATGATGGACGGTTTGGGCAACTTACATCTAATAGCTTTTATGGAAATTCCTGCCTTTCTGAAAAATTAACATATTGATACTATAAAACTGTAGACTGATGAATGGAAGCCAGGAAACAGACAGAATTCAGAGGAGCAGATTTCCAGACTGCTGTGTGAAAGGTCAAGGTGTTACAGATGAGCTGTTTAGCTCGGGTGAGCTGACACTCAGAGATGCTGTATGAGCTGAGCAGTGGGATGTAAGATATGCAGCAACGTTAAGCAAAGTGAACTTAAGAGTTTAACCTCTGGGCCACCAGTTCAAAGTTTTACAGAGGTGAGTGGTTTCCATCAGTAAAGCTAACATCACTGGGATTTTTACCCAAATGCTAAAAAATTAGGTGTTTGAAAAAGTCTTGGACTATTTTAGAAAGATAAATTCTGGCTCAGCAATTGCTGCTGCTATGGTTTGTGCAAGGAAGTATTTAGGGGAAGAAGCTCTATATTTATCTCTATGTTTTGCATCTGTTCCCACCTTTCCCAGTCCTCTGCTACTGGCCACAGCCCCAGGGCCATACCATGCCAGAAGGACCTTTGAAGTGACCCCAATCACTTATCTTTTGCTCTTCAATGTCTGATCGAAAGCCCACTGAAATCAATGAGAACTTTGTCATCAAAGCCACAACCCAGAATGATTTTCTGTGCCTAACTCACAGCTTCAAATTGTCAGATGAAGATTCACAGCCTGGAATCCTTTCTGCAGTTAGGCCCATAAGGTTCTTAAAAAAAAAATGAAGCAGGGATGATAATTTCCTATTAAATATTAAGTAGAAATAATACTGCTACACAGCACGGCTGCTCCTCCTGAGTTACGCGCTGTAGCTCACTGGCTAGGTTAGTCACACAGAACAGATCAGATCCATGTGCCACGCTCACAGCTCTCCAAGTCCCAGGAGGAAGCTCTGAGCACCTGCCTGTACGGGATCACGGCTGCTTCTTACTAAGCTAGGGCGAAGCAGCATACTCCCTAGGCAGGAATTGTGGCACACGTGTGTTTAAAACATTTTTGCCAGTGACTGGAGACTGGACAAGCTGATATTTGGTCTGACCCCATTTTTATGTTATTATTTAGATCATTAATTTTGTGTGTGGCTTATTTTTGCTTTTAGCCACCCATGCCTTCCTTTCTAGAGAAGTCATCATCCGAAGAACACTGCATCTATTCGCTATTTTCCCCTTAATTTATCTACTGGCAAAATCCTCAATCTGTTTTAAATGTAATGGCATAGCTAAAATCTTTTTGTTTAAATAACCTTCTCGTCCTTTTATCAGATACAATTTATTAGGAAAGCCCATCTGGCAAATCCTTTTGCTACAGAGGAGCACAACCTCCTCTGTATTTGCAATACAATATTGCCAGGTGCAGAGTGATTTAAAAATAGCACTTCTGCCAGCATAGCAGAAACATCATCACCCATCAGCTGGGCTTCTTTGGGAATAAAATGTAAAACGACAATAAAATAAAAGCCACAGTGTGATGGATGTGGTTTCACACATAGAACTGTCCCAGTGTTTCTTACTTTGGCCATGTCTGGTGGGTCCCGGCTCAACATGTTTATTGCTGGAGATTCCATTATTTAGCATTAATTACTTCACCTTCCCCATGGACTGCGGACGTCATGGGCATCAGATGCGGAATTGTAACCCCCTTTCCAGGAGGCAAACACCAACATGTTGACAATATGGCATTGGGTTGTTGCAATGCCTCTTCAGATTTAATTCTGAAATGTTATTTTTTACTCAGAGTTAAATCATGAAATACATTCATTGTTTACAGAAAACTGCCCAATCTGCATGGGCATACTTTCCCTGAGCGTCGCCACGGGATCAGGCGTGATTTGTAGATTCTGTGCTGTTCTGCAGCTCACACCACCGCCTTCGTCCGTAGGCTGGAAGCCCACATGGAACATCATGTTAGCCTTGTCATTGACCTGTCTTGAAATCACCTGCTGCTTGTACGGCCACTTCAGCATGAACAAAGATCCCCAAGCGGAGCATGTTCTCCAGCGGTGAAAGCGCGTTGGGTGATGCCGTACATCCTGTTCTCTCACTGGACACTACTCAGATGTCCCAGAAGCAAAGATTCTTCCTTCCTTTTAATGCCCGGATCTGTTTTTTCAGACTCCTAATGCAATATATTCCACCACTCTTCTTTTGAAGTGCAGTCAATTTTTTTCCCCCTTTAAGCTGAAGACTATTCTGTTTGATCTTGAGTTTCAGAACCAATCCTTTATGGTTTTAATACATGTCATCTGGCATTTCACCAGCAGCTGTAGTTGCTAGGTTTGGGATTTCAGCTTATACAGCTAGGGCTCTGGAAAGATTTGTTGATGTAAAGATGCTACTATACAGATTTATGCGGAGTCACTTTTTTAAAGACCCTTTTTCTTTCTTTTTTTTTTTTTTTAATTTCCATTGAAATGTAATTTCTGGAAGAGCCAGCTAAATACGTCAGAATTGTAAATATTGGGACAGTTCTGAGGTGTTAAAATATGATAATCCAGCCAGCCTTTATGTAAGCTCACAACTGAAGTAAGGAAAAGGAAATTGTCATCTGTTTTTGCTACACCCTGTGCTGACATGTCGCACACATCCACTGCGGGGGCCGAGGCAGCTGGATTATTGCAACTACTGAAATTTTCTGGCTCTGTAACGTGATAGCAGGTTTGTTATTCTGAAAGCACCTGGACAGGAGTGAGCTGGACCTAGCACAGTGCAGCTGTGTTAAAGTCAGAAAAGACAGCGACTGCGAACACTGCAGCAGCTGCACAACATCTTTCTGTTTGGAGGCAACTTAAAAAGTTTATGCCATTAGTCCAACTCTCGCCTGCTTTGTTCCAAACAGGAAACGAAACACTGCTGATTTTGAGAACTTGAATATGGTGGCAAAGAACATTTTGCTCAGTAGCTCACATCTAGAGTAAACGTTTCATTTCAGCGAATGATTCACTTGAGGCCCTCGCTGTTCAGCATAGCTCAGTTTTATTTTTTTTTATAATTCAGGCCAATATATATGTCTATATGGGGAATACATGATGGCTGGTGATACATATGCATTGATGGTAAAGTCACAAGGAAATTACTTTACAGAATGTACAACTTACACTTACCTGTGGGCTTGTACATTCTTTATACAGAAATACAAAATTTCGTATTCAGTGTGATATCTACACTGAGAGTTGGAAACATATGTGACTCCTTGGTGAAGGATTTAATTAAGGTGAATTAAGGCGAAACAACAAATTAAGGTGAAACAACAATTAAGGTGAAACACCACCAAACAATTGAATCCTGGCTCATCACTTTAATGTGTATACTCTTTAGGGAAAAAGGGAAACGTGGGATGTAAAGTGTAAAATGTTGTTCTTCACTTCTTATCAGCAAGGAAGAGGATTATCGCCTATTGCCTTTTTACAGCCAGGATGTTGGATTCTGGTGGCTACTTCACAATGAAGTTTGTTGATGGTCATTAAGTTAAAATTAAGTTATCTGCTTTGGGATTCCCAGAATTGCTGCAGTTATACCTCCTCCAGCCTTCTAGAAAGGGCACCTTCTGGTCAGGAACTTCTACAAGGACAGCAGAACTCAGTGTACCTCCACCGAAGAGGACTCTGTGTATGTGTTTGCAATAACTAACAAAACTGTCTTCGGATTCACTATTTACTTGGTGATTTAAGTCCTTGTGTGCATACACGGACAGATAAGCCCTCTGTTCTTAAGGGAATTCAAATCACTGGGATGATTCAGGTCAAGAGATCACTCGGTATTATTGGCAGAGGCTCCCTTCAAGTGTTCCTCAGTGAAACAACAGCTCTCCTTAAGCCTCCAGCTAACTGTGTTTGTTACGTTTCAATTTGAGTTAATATTTAGAAGGAGAAAAAAAGCAGATATGCACAAAGTTGAATTCATTTTCCTTTCTTCCGGCATGACATTTTCATGGAACTCCTTTCCTCTCTCATCAGTACCAGCACAAGTCAGAACGAGCTATGCAATTCAAACAGAGTATTATACATATGAAGATGTTTTATATATTTTGTCTTTTTATGCGTGAATCATTATTATATAAGTTACAATGGAAGGAAGCAAATAGATCTGCTTATAAGATTTGTGTCAGAGCAACTGAAAAATAGTTTTCTAGACCATAGGTGCTAGGAAGCAGAGAACGAACGGTTGCTTCACTGGTTGGTACTGAGCCTGATGCGATGGGTCCCTTGCATACCTCCCGAACCCTCCTCTGGTAGCTGCAATATTCTTACCTCTGTTGCCGATATCGGTGTAACACATACACAACTGTATCTTCTCTTTATACAAATGAGAAAACCACACTAAAGCTGCTGTGGGTCATTCTGTTCTAATCAACGAGTTGTTTGATGTACTAACTCAAAGAAAGGTCACAGTCGAATTGTAGAAAGAGGCTTTTCATATGAAAAACTTACGATATTGACCCAAACAGCTTGTGAAGGATAACTGAGCACTTTAAAGCTAAAAATAACTGAAATCACAAATAGTAGCTTGGTAGCAACTATGTAATTAGTGCTTTCCGACCACATCAGAAATCACCATCTACAGGCGGGCTCATAAGCACTAGCAGAGAGCAAGCAGTTGCAGCAGTGTGGGAAAGGTTTACATTATTTATTCTACCTCTCTATATTAGAGTAATAAAACTAAATAATGAAAATTGCTGTTAAAAAATGAAGTATATTTTTAATTGAAGAGGGGTACACTTTCGTCAGGATATAAAATAAATGTAAAGCTCATTTCCAGAAGCCGCTAAGTATGCTGCCCCTGATACAGAACTTGCTTAATTTTAGGCATGGGAAAGATCCCCTGATCCTCCATGCCCGGAGTTAAAACCATTCTCATTGGTCTTTCTGGAGCTAGAACACTTATCCTGTGGGATCTAATTCATAAATCCTGAGGATTGTACTTCACTTTTAATCTTTAAACTTACTGTATCAATTCAGATTAAATGATCTAAAAGCAGCCAAATCGTTGTTACTAGTGTAACTAAAATACCTTTTAAAAGCTTACGGTAAGTGGTTTTTATCTCTGAAACTGTTACTTGGAAAACACAGGCCATTTCTCATTTACATAGAGTCACTTTTTGATGCTGTTCTGATTGAAAACAGACAGAAATTACATTTACAAACATTAAAAGACTTTTTATAGTCCCTAAGTTATGTAAGAGGCCTCGTCAGAAATTAGAATTTGGCTTCATATTCATCATATGGTAGCATAAAACCCCCATAGTTTGTAAACTTTGGAAGACACTGAGTTCAAGTGTTATTAATTCAGTATCAATTACAGCATGTGCATGGTTAAATGCTAAGGTGTTCCTACTGTTTTTATGAATTCTGAAAAAGGATTTGATAGCCAACAACTAAATCATCCATTAGTACAGAAAAAAACAACAGATGCTGGGTTATTTTTGTTGTTTTAAAACCATGTAAAATTTTGCTTGGAATCATGTCTCTAGCTTTGTCTTTGAAATAACAACACAAAGACTCCGAAATTCTTTCCTCACTTAATGTGAAGCTGGTTTTCTATATCATAAGATTAATCATATGGAAATTATGCTTAATAGTTGGCAATTAAAAATGGGAAGGAAAGCTGAAAAGCTAGATGTTACCTTCCTGTTTACAATTTCTGGAAGTGCACGCACCGAGATGAAAAATCTTACAGGATTTCTTTAAAAATGCTGACCCGTTCAATACCAGCAGTCACTCCTAAATGGAGCCAGAAGACTGTGGAGTTCAGATAAGATGATAGGACCAATAAGCTGTTTCATGCGGTGTTATATAATTTTGGGAACATAACAGATGGGTTTCATTATCTAAAGAAACTAATAAAATTACTTTTCATTCTACTGTAGACCCAATTTTGTTTTATAACCCGTACATAAAATCTGAACTAGGACCTATAAATGGAAAATAACAAGTACCTGACTTTTTTTTAGTCTGAAAATCATGTCTCCTGTGGTATAGAAATATATTCACTGGCAAGTCTTCATTTTCTATCCTAAAAATGACTATGTAGTCTCATTTTGTATAGTCAAACAGCTGCCATGCTCATTGCCAGCTATGTATATATTCTTGGCTCCAGAGGCAAACCGTACCTCCAAAATTAAACACAAGCATAGATACGATCACTCCTCTCAGCTACCTCTTGTGAACCATCATTTTTCAAGTCTGGGGTTCGAACACCGAGACATCTTCATCTGCATGGTGAATTGCATCGACCCAAAAGAAACACGCTCGTCAGAGATGTGCACTGTCATACACAGGAGCAATTTTCAAGGGAATTTGAAGAGGATGAGTGTGTCTGCTGCCACTGATGGTTTTTGGCAGATTTACTGCAGGATGTAGTATGCTCCAGTTCCTCTCGGTCTTGTGTCACAGTTGCCTCTGAGCAACTGAGCACCAACCCTATCCTCACCGCAGTACCTCTTTCCTTTGCCCAGGCTTAGGCATGTCGCCTGACTTAGTTGGGATGGGACGCATATAAGGACAAAAGTAATGTTTGAAACTGCTCAGACCTGCAATCACTTAACTGAGCTTCACGATTCAAAGAAAAATCCTTTTTTACTGTGAATGAATTCAGCTGAATCTCAAAGGTCTGGTACAGGCTATGCTCTGATAAGGGTATGAAAGCATTTCAAAAGGTTGGAGGAAACATGTGCAAATGAAGGTGTCAGGCAACCTAGATAGAGAGGTTGCCATCAGTTTCCACTCTAATCAAAAGCTTTTAAAATACTACTGACCAGCAAGTTTTCATCCAGAAATAAATTTGCTTTGATTCCTATCAAGGCTTTTCTGCAGCCTCTTACATTTCCTTCTCCACCATTTCACCATCACGTTGTCTCTTACCTCGGATTCCTTGTAATAGCGCTCAGGAATTTCATCGCTGGCAATATCAATAAAGCAGACTTCTCGCTCCAGATCTTTAGCTTCTTTGTCAAAAATCTGCAGGAGTTAAAGAAATCAAAAGGAAGAAAATGGGTGTTCTCAAGATCGTGTATAAGCAAGATGTTCCTAAGCAAGATTAACAAGAGTTGGAATGAACGATGGCACAGACTTTTTGGGAACAATCCCCTGTGGCAGATCAAGAGGCTGTTAAATACAACACATGGAGTTCAGCACTTACTGCTCACACCGCGGTTCTTCCTTGCGCTTTTTGGAACAGAGACTTCGGTCACAAATAATAAATAAACAATTAGGATTGGCTTTATTGTGTTCTCTAATCTTTGCACTAGATTCCATCACTGTGTAAAAAACTGGATTTTCTGGACTCTGGGTGTTTTCACTCTAGGGACAATAATGAAATGCAGGTGTGCCGTGTGAACGACTCACGCTAAGCTGCTGTTCTACTGAGAATCAAAACTTTGGTTGAACAGGCCCCAGTGGAAGCTGGAAAATTCCACTCTCCATTTCTGCACACAGAGAGCTTATTTTCATTTTAATCCTTTAGGACCTGGTTCCAAGTCTCCTGCTCCATGCAAGGCAGCTGCTGGGTATATTTTGAAAACGCAGGACATTTGCATCTGCAGCGCAGTAGACTTCTGTGCCTGTGTCCATAATTTAATTATTGAGGCATCTTAGTGACTCACGTGACTTATGCTGTCTGCAATACATTTCTACTCATGATACTGGGACTCGGAAATAGGGACTAGTTAAAAGGCTATCATGAATTAGTGCCATAAAATTCAGGGAAGTTGTGCCTACACTGTCAAGATCAGTAACAAGCTAATGATGCGTTTTTTCCTTTGGGGCACAATGTTCTATAGCTAACGTTTCCAGGAAGCATAAATATTTTTGTTTTCTTTTTTTTTCAACAAATGTAGCGAATGGTCTGTTAATTTAATTCCACTTTATCCTAGAGGAACAGTTAAAAATGCCAGCAACTATTCAATAGCAAGGATGCTATGCTACTTTATTATTTCTGAAAGAAACGCAGCTGCCCACGTATAGTGTTCAAAGTGAGCAATGGACGACAACGAACAAGTGCACCAGCTGGGAAGGAGAACACTGCTCAGGAAATCACAGTTCAAATAAATGAAAAGCTGAAGTTTGACTCTACAGTTTTAACTTGTCCTGGTAGTTAACAGTACTGAAGTAAAATAGGCAACAGCGAATGCTTACTGAACTGGATACAAAATGTGAACGTGTCTGAAACTGCAGAAGAGCAGAACAAAGGGAAACTCCAGTGTGGTTTTATTCGTGTGCTTGTTTTCCTTCTCCAGTCCTTGTTTTGCAAAAAATTATGTTGATTATTTGAACAAATGTGAGCTGAGAGGTCTTTCCCCGGTAGTGTTGTTTCTTAGAATTTTTTAAAATAACTGTTTTCTATATATAATATAGGCCACTTTTTATAAGCTTCCTTTGCTTGCTTTTTTTCCCTAAACAATTTCAGATATACAGAGCAGTCCCTTGATAAAATCAGTTGAACTATTTCTGGAATAAGATGCATTTCACCATGATCTCTGAGCTTTAAATAAAATAATGGAGATTTCTCTTAAACGGACATTCCCAGGTCAGCTGAGGCTCTGAATCAGGATCTGGTTTAAGCACAAGCCTAATAAATCTAAGCACACGCATATCTCTGCGTGTTTGCAAGGACCTAATTTGGGACCATTACCCAATATTTTATCTGAAGGAAAGTGCCCTGCTCTGTCACAGGCTTCATCCACATATTGCACCTCTAAGCAATATGGTTTAAAATTCTTTTTCTCTCTTTAACGTGCTTTGATAGAAGTGGGGATGACAGATGCCGTTGCCAATCTGTCAGAACCAGAAGGACTTTTTCAGCCATTTCAGCTGTCCCTTAATTTGCTGCTTTGGCTATCTCTGACCACTTCCTCCATTCCTGAAGTTTGTTGGATCACATTCTCAGCTCTCTTTGCTGGCAGAAGTTGTTATCTAATTGTTTATGCTTCTCCCCTTCTTAGATTGTCCTCGCAAGATTTGCAGATAGAGATTTAATCTTCTCATTCTATCAGCAGCAGAAAACGAGAAGTCATTAGAGAACAAGAGTGATTTCTTTCTTAGCACTAATTCTCTTATTGCCTCTCCTAGCCACATAAGCTGGGATTGTCTTAAAACCTGTCGGGAGGATGGGTTTATTGCGTTTGTGATCAAAGAGACTAGAGAAATTTAAAAGTTTTAAAGGAAGAGACTAAAGGCCACAAAAAGAAGCATACGGCTCCCAATCTGTGCAACTGTATTTGCAAATGTGCAGAAAATGAATGGGGAGAACAATCTGTATCCTTAAGAAGACGATGTAGAAAGGCAGAATATTAAATATTGTACTGGAAAGAACTGGACAGGCTTTACATTTGGAAGCCAAGTAATTAATTGAGATTGAAATACACAATCAAATGGAAAACAAAGAATAACATTCCGGCTGAAGTGTCCTTTTTGCCATGTGTTTTGGGTTTTTCTTGGGGCAGGGCTGTGACAGCATTTTTACAACAGACAAACATTTATACACTTCCAGTTTCTAAGAGGAAGGAAAACTCATCATTATTTAGACTAATTCACCCACAAAATGGCAAAAAGGGGAAGAAAGGTGTTAACTGGGTCATCTTTACAATTGTCAATAGTTTCTTTTGGGGAAAATGTTCAAAAAAATGCTGGCTGATTATTCCAGTGCCTCAGGAAAGAAAGATCACACAGGATCCTGCAGAAATATAAGTGCTGGTGTATTTAAATTTCTTTCCTTCGGTTTCCTCATGACCTACAAGGACATGCCCTAGCACATACTTTGCTACGGACTTCTCTTTTCCTTGCAGCCAAAGCCAGAACAGAAAGTCAAGTTACGAGACAATGGTAAGTCAACAACAAATTTAATATCTTTTTTTCTACAAGTTCCTTTCCCATTTTTCTTCTTTTTTTGTCTATCTTCAGGCTAAACTGCTCGCTTCAACCTCATTCAGATGTAGCTAATCCAAAATGTAACTTTTGTTAATCAATCACCACAGCTAACCTGGTTTGGATATAAATAGTACGAAGCCAGATGCTGCTGAATCCATTGATTACGTTCACACTGGCAAACTCCTCGCTCGCCTACACTGCTAGGACTCAGGGGGTCAAATCTGTCCTTGTTTGGCTTGGCTGTGTTCCATAACACATGATTCTCTCCTCTGACCAGTTTTTTCTATCATTGAGAGCAAAGAAGGTGTTCAGGGGATTACCAGCTGGAAGGTTGCTTGTCTCTGTCTTTACTGCAAAATGTTTTTTTTTTTACCAGCCTAGATACAAGGAGTTTGTGGTCAGAAGGTTGGAATAAGGCAGTGAATCTGCATTTTAAACACTCATACATACAGGACATAAAATTTCCTGTGGAAACAGTTAAATAACATGTCAATTGTTAGAGATGCAAGTGATAAGGCAACCCATATAGAGAATTCTATACCATAAACAAACAAGTTTGAAAACAGGAGTGTTTTTTTCTGGAAGCTATTTTTTCTGTCCCTTGTGAGGGTCTGGGTGAGAGAAGGTCTCTATGTTTTTCTTACTTGTTATGTTAGATCCAGCTCGTCAGCCATTGCTGAGAAATGCAGCTCAGGCAGAGAAATGAAGCAGATAAGAGCTAAGAGATTTTTTTCCAAAAAAAGCAGAGCACTCCTAAATTAATTACAGGCAGGTAATATGGTAGCAAACATGATTATTATCCCATGTGCTAAGTAATCAGACACCTGTGCCTAGCTCCAAACTTCAGCCAAAATTACTACATTGGTCAATATAAAACATGTAAACGTAATTTACTGGGATGAGAATTTCTATTATAAATAAAATTTCCTCTTCTATTAAATCCTTCTTTGAGTTAATATCTATGCCTGAAAGCGCTGTTCTTCCCTCTCTGCCTCCCCGTTTTCCCTGCCCTGCCAGTAAAGCCCACAGGCATCCCAACGAACGTAAATCTTGACTTTGCAATAGCTGGACATCACAAGATGACATCTTAGTGGGATAGGCAGGCTATGAGATGAACGGCATGACAAAAATATCTTTAAATTAAATTTATCTCTGCCTTTCTCACGATTCTATTGATTCATTCATTGTCATTGAGCTTCAAAAAAAATTGAAAAAATACAGTCTGCAGCTAGAAGAGTCCCCAAGCGTATATGCAACATATATGCTCCTTTTAAAATTCAAATATTGATATTTCACTGAAGCTTTGGGGTGTTCTCTGTACTTTTTCTCATCCCTGAAATGCAGTCTAACTATGCAGCTTGCAGGTATTGAGCAGTTGGTATGATGATGAGCACTTTCTGTGAGTAGATTACATACGTAACCACCATTTGTAGGATGGTTTAAATCTACATTTCATTGTGTGTGAAAGTTAGAGGTGTAACTGCAGTAAGGACTGCAAGAATAATATTTTTCTTTTTTTTTCCTATTAAAAAAAGGGAAAATCTGGCACAGAACCTTCTCTCCAATTTGAGATTCTAATCTCCTTAGATTGCCATCAACAGAACCACCGGCTAGTCTCCAGTTTATTATTACAGCATCTTTTTGCAGGTGGTATCATCTAATCCACTTTAACTCGCAGTTTTCTGAGGGAAAATTTGGTCTAAAGTAAAAGAACACCTACTGAGAGCTTCATCTATGGAGTTTTATTCGATGTGTAGCTTCTCTGCAAGCCATGGGCCAACCTCCGTTACCCCCAAAGTCCATTAATTTACTTTGGAGATTTACTTGGGCAAAGATTGCAAGAACGTGGACATACATAACTGGGAGCAATTCTTGTACGGAAAAAGGTTGAATCTCTCCCTGAGAGCAGTAAATCTGGACAGCACAGGAATATCACTGTCTGCTGCAAGTGGAGCTCCTGAAGGCAGTTACATATTTATCAGCATCTTGCTCTCCGCTCTTTTTTATCTCCATGTCATGATGCTTCTATTATTCCATCTCTTATAGAATATCTCCTTTAGCTTTGTACTTTCTGAACAGAGAAATGCATTTTT